ATTTGAAAATTTCTTTTAGGAGCTTCCAAATGTAATATGGGTGAGAATAACTCGTCAATTTCAATTTTATCATGAGGTTTGAATGACAAACTATGATGACTATTGGTTAATGCATAATTTATTCTCCAGGTTACTGAGAAAGGGTGGTTTCCCTTTTTCATTAACTTATTTCTCAACATTTTCCAACACAGAGTGATGGATTCATCAAGATTATTGTCTAATAATGACATTCCTACTTGATAATTAAGATTAAACTTGATTTTTCCATATTTCAAGTTTCCTTGTCCTTCTGCAACAAGTGCATCAGACTTGTTTATCATCCTATTATCTTCTAGTCTGATTAGCATAGGTGTATCTATCCCTAAGCTAAACGTGCTTTTTAATATCATTTGTATTGTTGATACATGTATATATGCTATTTTATTTCTAACTTCAGATTTTATCTGTTTTAAATTTTTATAAATTTGTTTTTTACAAATTACAGGTATGATTACATTTCCTTGTGTTTGGTCTGTATCAATTGCTTCTTCTCCAGCAATAATACCAAAGAATATTTCATTTTTTCTTAGGATTAAGTTATTAATCCTTTTAAACACTTTTTCTTTTGAGAAATTGTGTTCTTTATTTAAATCGTGTTCAACTTTTCCAAGTTTTTTAGCATCTATCAGGGCTTCTACGAAATATCCTGACGTTTCTTGTTTTGAGAAATAATCTAATTGATTATTTTCCATTTAATTATTCTCTGTACCTCCAAGGATCTAAACATTGTGTAAAGAATTCTTCTTCTACTCTAGAGTTAGTTCTAGCATTATTTTCTAGGATTTGTATTCCTATATTTAAATTTTTAATTTTTTCTTTATACCACTGTAATTCAATATTTTCTCTTCCAGAAAGAGTTATCCTATTTTCCATTTCGTCAATTATTTTTTCTATAGTTTTTCTTCTGGCTAAGAAGGCATTTAACCAGCCTATTCCTGGCATTTTAGTTTAGTATTTTTGCCTGCTACCAGGCTCTGATACCAGTTTATAGGGGTACCTTCCTTTTAGAGTTTTTCAAACTCATTTTCTGAGACCTTAGTTTCTTTTCTGCAGAAATATAAGGAAAGTGCTCCTAATATTTGTCCGATTCTCGCTTCGGTTAGCGTCCAAACTTTGTTTCTTTCAGAAACTGTATTGTAGCTTTGAGCTTTTCATTTTGTTTTTTAATTCCAGGATATATATCACCATAATGACAATCACAGTTTTTATACATCCTAATGTCTTCTTCAATACAGGAATTTCCTGTAAAAAGTTCTAATTTTTCAATAGCTTCTTTTTTCATTTTCTCCAAAAGCTTATGTTCCAAATATTTTATATTTGAATAAATATCTAGTTGAACTGGTTTTTTACATATATTTTTTGAAATTTCAAAAATTTCTTCCATTTATTCTAAAGGTTTTAGAATTGTCATACCTGACTTCTTCTGAAGTTTATCTGTTCCTGGGCATCAATACCCTTTCCTTCCAGTTTGTTCTGTTGATGGGTCCACCACGGCTAACTTTCGCCACTGCATTTTTATCTCAATTCCAAGCTATGCTTCAAGACGCTTTACTGCCACCACCGGGACTTATTCCGTCGAGCTTTAGCCTCCAGGAACTCCAGAGATTATGCAGGCTGTTGCCTTTAGTTTCTTTCTGACCCTTACTGGACCTGGGTTTAGATCTTGATGTTCTAAGTTTTGGAACCTTAAAGGTTCTCTTTTTCTTTTCTTAGTGTAAGGACAATTTTATAAAAAAATTTATCTTATTTCTTGAGAAAAGATTACAAGGGAGAGGAGAATATAAGATTGTTCATGTTCCGAAAATAAGAATGCCTTACCACATATCGGAGGTCACTCTTATATGGACTTCATAACTTAACAACTAAGAGACGAAAAGATCCCCACAACCATAATGGCACATGGCCCATAAAAAGTAATACATAGCTGTTGATGAGTCAGCTCTCACTTATTAGTGCCTTTCATAATATGGCTTAATAATGTAAGGCACGCGGCATTACATTGTGGTGAGTGGATAAGGCTCCAACCTGGCCCTGACTCAGCCTTTCAGATCATGGTGGGATCAGCTTTGATATCTTCCACTTGTGCCGACTCTTCTTTCTTAGTGCTGGGTTCATGCTGTCGAGCATTATTGTCTTCTAGCTTCTTCTTTTGACTTTTCTCTTTTTCTTCATCAATCGTTGCTTGTACTGCATTCAATAGGGAATGTGTTTCTTCACTGCATCTGGTTTTATTGATAAGAGAGTTCTTCCAGTTTTCGATAATCGCCCAGTCTCGACGATCAACCTTCTTTGTGAAATTACTGATTAGCAGAAATTCTTCGCTGCAGAAATTCACCTTGATTTTACTGGCTGCCGTGAACTTGTCCAAAGTCTTTATTAAGGAGTAATAAGAATCACTCCTTTCCAGTTTTAATTCATCTTCAGACGGACTTTTCAGTTCTTGGATTAGAACATTTGGGGGTCGAACCTCTCCACAAATTCCCATTTGGATAAAATGATACCCGGGGAATTGTTTTTCATTTTCCCAGTCAGGAATTGTACTGCAAACCTTGAAGTAAATACTTTTTTGGTTATGCAATATCTTGCATTTTTCCATATACAAACCTGTGGCCTGTTTAAGCTTGGGAAAGTATTGTAATTCCAACAATTTGTTATCAGGATATAGCAAATCCACAAATCCTCCTAATAACATGTCTCTAACTTTTTCTGATCCCAATCCAGGATACAGAATGGCTTTTAATTGCTGGTTTTTAGAAATTGGGACTAAACCCTGTTCTAATGTACTAGCGTTTAATTCTTCAAATAGTGTATACCATTCTTCTTTTGTAACAGTTAGTTTTAATAAAGAACTGTTTATTTCAAATTTATTGAACTCCCCAGAAATTTGGCTCAATATTTTGTTTCCGTTGAAAACTCCCATTTTATAGAAAACAGTTGTTCTTTCTTTAAATTTACCCTTAATTTTTTCAAGGATATTTTTAGCTTCGAATTCAGATTTCGCTACATGATAGTAGGAATCTGGCAATTCTTTTACTTTTTGGTAATCTTGATAGACACCAATTTTAGGTCCTGTATG